ACCTCAAGCTAGTGGCTTGAAGTTTCTCTAGCAGTGGTTAATTTTACAGGATGAGGTTGCTAGCCTCATGCTCTTACATTTATATGGGATGTACTTTATTGGCTTAGGTACCCCAGGACCTTCATATATGTAGAGCGTGGTTTACTTCTTCTTAATACGCAAAAATATCTATCTTGCGTAAAATGTTAAAGGTCTGTAGAGTTCACTGAAGGTTCAACTGTGAACAAAGAAGCTATTTCATACATTTATTCCCCTTAATGAATTTGAACAAAGCAAGAACTACAGTTTTAGCAGAATAAAATGGTGCCATCTTTTATTTCGTTGCCTTCTCGTCATCTGATTACATGGCAAAGACATTATTAAATATATCTACAACAACAATTTTGACATACTTGCACAGAGTTCATTTTAAACAATAATGTCTTTGCCATGTCTTTGTAAGCAGCTGACGATAAGGCAACGAAATAAAAGATGATACCATTTTATTCTGCTAAAACTGTAGTTCTTGTTTTGTTCAAAGAAGCTATTATAGGACATATTCCCAGATCAGAGATCTTCTAATGGCATACATTTGGAGGTAAATAGCTTAAAATATATATTCTGAAGTCGAAGCACCTCTCTTTCATATTAATTCTATGGATGACTTTATTCATAAAATTACATTTAAACTCACAAGCTTATTGGTCAAATTTTCAAAGTTGGTTATACATTTGAAATCCACTTTAGTTACTTCTTCACTAGCAGTCAATTATTAAAGTTAGTTTATTTTTCAGATAGCAGACATGTCATATACTTTATTTCACAAGTATGTAATGTTTAGTGGACACAAAGCAAAAATGATGTTACCTCGACTGAAAGATGAAGTACATAGACAAGCCACTTCAAATTGTATCTACCAAATCACCTGTGCTTGTGCATGAAGTTATATTGGCCGTTGCTCTGGGAACTTGATGTTTCGAGCTCGAGAACATCTTCCACCATGACTAAGTAAAGGGGTAATGAACGCCATCAACAGTGTGATATTAGAACATCTGGTCCAAACCGGCCACAAAGCTAGCCAGCCAGGATTGAAGAATCCTTCTCTATCATCATCTACCGGGTGCCAAATAATTAGCCAAGAATATCGTAGTACCACGTGCTCCAAACAACAGAGGCTATCACGATTGACCTGACACAACCAGTGCTCTTTGCAGAAGAAGCAAGTCCAGCCAGCCACTACTACTGTCCTAGCTGGCTTTCAGTGGAGACTATAAATTCGTGAATTTGTAGTATTGTTATCTTTCCTAATTTTTCTTACATTCAGCTTATTTCATGTTGATGCTACTGATCTGTAATCTATTGATATTATTACTGATTCGATGTTATTTAAGCAACATTAATGTTGCTCATACAACTAATTCTTTCAAGCACTATAATGTATATATAACTGTAGAGCCTAATGATGAAGTTATCGAAAAGAGTATTCTTGGTTCAGTATCCATTCTTTTGAAAAATGGATCTACAAAGAACATTCAGAAACACTCATTTATGATGTATGCATAATTGGTTGGAGGATTTTATCATTAGCTGACATCAGTTAAGTGAACTATTGGAACACCGACTGGGAGTACTGGACAGCCAGCTGTTTCGTCAGCCTAGTTGGGAACTCTTCCTCATCAGTACGCAACCACTGGGTTTCGAACCCAGGACCTTCTGGTTACAAGGCAACCTAGCTCGTAAACCCATGGTCCATGAATTCTAACTTCTCTCCAGTGCTCCAAATTCGTTTTCCAATGGATCTGTAACTGAAATCAGCTTATGATGAAATCCTGCAACCAAGGAAACAAAATCCGTACAAGAACCAATGCTTGAAAATATATACATAATCTCTTAAATATTTTGACTGCTTTAAAAAATAACCATTGAAAAAAAACCGAGAGAGAAAATTTTTCAATAGTTCGTTACAAAGAGACAATTATAGGTGGATAAAAAAGAAAATTGTGTATTTTAAATGACCTCAAAGGCCAATGAGAGTCTTTTAATGTTTACTTTTGAAAATCAGCATCTTTCTTTACTATCAGTAGGAAAGAGGGATAACTGTTAAACACGATGTGAAAGAAGTAAAATGAAAGAAAAAGGTGTTCAGCCTTTAATTTGAATAAGTTTTAAAACTTTTTCTACCGCTAAACAAGAAAAAGTGCAGAAGGGTATTTATGCAAACTTCTTTGTGTACTTTTGAAGTCTAGGTTCTCCTGCGTTCAATATTATTATTATTGTTCCCTTAGATTCCTAATGGAACATAGAGCTTCAACAATACATGCACGTCTCCACTTGCCACTTCTGTCTTCTGCTCTACTTTTCACCTGAATCCATATTAGTCCATACTGTTTTAAAAAAATACTATTTCACACGATCTCCTCCATGTCACCCCACCCTTGCACTGATCTCCCACTCGCCGCTTCCCTTTCGGCCTGGTTCCACTCCACCAACGGCCTGACGCGCGCGCGGTGTCAACCAGCCACCTCCTCAGCCAGTGTCCAGTCCATCTCAATCCACTTTCTCCTGTATATTTGTTGGTTGGCGATTGGTTGACTCTTTTTTTGTTTCTTTGTCTGTTCCCATACTTTCTTGTTTCTTGTTGGTGATTCTTTCCGGCCCGGCCATCTGATCTTCAGTATAGATCCAGCGAACACAGTTAGTTGTTGATAAAAATCTGGTCTGCAATAGCCTGTTATAAATATTCTTTGTGACCAGCTCGCCTAGTTTCTGATCCGTATACAAGGACTGACTGACTTGATATTGTTTGTATTGAAAATCCGACTGAATTTTGTTGTTGATGCTGACTTGAGTGACGAAGATTGGCTTCCAGATTGGTTTCAGGTTGATGAATGTGTGTGTTTCTCACCTTTCCGATTCTCGCTCGATTCGACATCCTCGTCCACTCCGACTGTATGTATTTGAGACAGTGCTTCCTAGGTAAGTAAGTGAGTGAATGAATTAACATCTTGCAAATCCTTCCCGTTGATGGGGATTGACGTTGAATGTTGGTGCTGTTGTTGTTGTTGGCTGGTTGGTTGGTTTGTTATTTTCATAGCCTCCGTCTTGTCTGTGTTCACTTGGAGTCCTGTCTTCGCCGTCTGACTCTTCGACCAGTTTGTCAGTCGGTCGGTTTTCGCTTGTAGGTCTTCGATTTTGTGTGTGACATCCAACATAAATCATCCACGCGCGAAATCCAGGTCTTCTAGGTTGTTCACGTCGGTCGAGAATATCCCTGTCTTCTCGTTACCCACTGTCTGACTCATAGTCCAGTCCACCACAATTAGGAATATCATTGGTGATAATAACCACCCTTGTTTGACTTCTTATTATTATTATTATTATTATTGGTAACAGCTTGATTCCACACTGTATTTTTGGTACAAGTATGGAATTTTCAGCGTGGATATCGGTAGCCCAAATTTCGCAGGCCGACCATAGATATCTGGTGTGCGCCGGTGTGGGCTCGAACCCCGGACCATCTGCATGGTCGTCGAGAGTCCTAACCATTGTGCCACCGACGCACATTCTGTATTTACATATGTCACTATCATACAAGTTGTTGAATGAGGTTGATAGTGATTTGAGGCACCACTGCATTCCATAGTGTTGAAGTTGTTTTACAAATTTTTTCACTGTCAGCAATGTCAAAGGCCTCTTTTTCAAAGTCGATGAAGTTGATGGAGGTAAAGATTTGACTGCCATTCTATGCTTTTTCGATAATTGATGCGTGGTGTTTTGGTTTAAATCCTCATTTAATTTGATTTTGTTGAATCCACCTTATGCCAAGAGGAGTTTTGCATCTGGAGCATTCCTCAATCTCTCCAGGATGATGGTGATGATGATTGCTTCATGTTACTCTTGTAAACTAGCTGGTTCTAAGTTCAGAAAAAAAGGGAAGATGGAGGATCCAGCAGCGGCGGAAGGGGTGGGTGGGTGGTAGACTCTAGTGACCCTAACCTGGAAAATATTATTATTTCCTTTAATTCCTAGAGGAACATAGGGCTTCAGTCGCGCGTCTCCATTGCGTTCGGATCTCTGCTAGAGTTTTTCACCTGCCTCCACGTCTGCCCACGATCTTTCATCTCCTCTTCACATCACCTCCTCCAAGTCATCCTTGCACTGACGACCAACGCGCCGATTCCCTTTCAGTCGGGTTCCACTCGAGCAATGACTTGTCTAGTGATGTCACTTGATGGTTTCTTCAGAGTATGGCCAGCCGATCCATCTCCATTTCTTCCTGCTTATTTGTTTCACAATCGGTTCCTGATTGGTTCGCCCATTTCCAGGGATCCCTGCTGCTGATCTTTTCTGGCCGGCTATCTGATCTTGAGTATTGAGCAAAGACAGCTGTTGATGAAGGTCTGTAGTTTGTTTGAGGTGCTGTTCATGACGCACCAAGTCTCTGATCCGTGTGGTAAGTAGCACTGACTGACTTCACATTGGAGTTGAAAATTCGGATCTTTTCTTCGATGTTGAGGAGTGCTGTTGACCTCCACACAGACTTGAGAGTAATGAAAACTTGTCTTGCTTTCCCGATCTTCACTGCTTTGATATTTTCGTCAGTTTCATCCGCCTGTAGTTGAAACGATGCTTCCCGGGTAAGTGGGTGGGTGAAGGAGGTTGTTTCTAACAGGTTCCTCGTATTTATGCTGGCTGATTGTTGTCTGTTGTTGTAGTTGTTGTTTCTGTTGGTGTTGGCCAGGAATCTTCATCACCTCTGTTTTCTCTGTGTTCACCTGAAATCCCTCATATTTTTGATGCTTGTTCTGCGAACTTGTTGCTTTTCACTTGGACCCTGGAAAATAGAAATTTCCAACAATCAATTCGCCTAAAGGATTCATTTATAAGCATTCAAAACTATTCCTTCCTAAATGTTCTGCGTTATTCTATCGAATTTTTGAATAACAATTCCTAAATATGTTCTCCTCATTTTTATTGATGCATATTTTTTCCCATTTTTTTTATTTTATTACTATTATTAGGAATTTTTAGAATGGATAAAAAATGACTGCCCATTACACCTACCGAGTATTGTTTTCGTCGAGTTGAATAGAAAACTACCCGGTAAAAAGAAAGTTATGAGAAATACTGAAGAGGCAGCTAATGGGAAGGAGGTCGTTACAACAGTCAAACGACAGTCTAGTCAATCGTCACCACTCAATAACAATAATAATAATAATAGTAATAATGATACTAATGGTAATGATATGGTGGAGAAGCATTCATCGCCTACATCAAAATTATCAAATAACTACATTGAAGATAATAGCATTGATGAGAAGAGTATCAACAGAAGCAAGCGTACACCTTCACCAAATCAATTATTATTATCATCTTCACCTACACGACGTCCTATAAAAATCATCTCAGTTGGCAGACGACCACATTCTATTGATCGAAAGTCAAATGACAGGGATGATCAAAATAATTCACATTTATTTACAATACCAAAAACTCCAACAACCCTTCAACCATCCATATCTTTAAATCATTTAAATAACAGTCAATTGGCAAATTATCATTCAAGCTTTTTATATCGTTTATATAAACAAGATATTAAGCCTTGCTTTGATTTTACCAGTCCACAGCTACTCTTATCAATTTATCGAGCTCTACCAGAATTAGCCTTGGAGATTGTACCGATAACACCAGAGTTGGGTGGTGGTAGTCTACGCCGTAAAGCCAACAGCAATGGTAATGATAACAACAGCAGTAATACTCATAATAATAATAATAATATTAGTAAAAGTACAAAACTTTGTCGAGAAAATTGTGTACTACTACCAAAATATGAAGCAGAATTTCATATGAAAATAAGAGTGAGTTATATTAAATGTAGCTTTGTGGTTTCAATAGAAATAAAAAATATGTTGCTTTTGTTTCTTTAACAAGCGAATAGTTTAATTATCCCTTTTATGGTCAACTTAAATGAGATAATATGGTGGACTGGATTATGCGTCAGACAGTGGGTAACGAGAAGACAGGGATATTCTCGACCGACGTGAACAACCTAGAAGACCTGGATTTCGCGCGTGGATGATTTATGTTGGATGTCACACACAAAATCGAAGACCTACAAGCGAAAACCGACCGACTGACAAACTGGTCGAAGAGTCAGACGGCGAAGACAGGACTCCAAGTGAACACAGACAAGACGGAGGCTATGAAAATAACAAACCAACCAACCAGCCAACAACAACAACAGCACCAACATTCAACGTCAATCACCATCAACGGGAAGGATTTGAAAGATGTTACTTCATTCACTCACTTACTTACCTAGGAAGCACTGTCTCAAATACATACAGTCGGAGTGGACGAGGATGTCGAATCGAGCGAGAATCGGAAAGGTGAGAAACACACACATTCATCAACCTGAAACCAATCTGGAAACCAATCTTCGTCACTCAAGTCAGCATCAACAACAAAATTCAGTCGGATTTTCAATACAAACAATGTCAAGTCAGTCAGCTCTTCTATACAGAACGGATGAGAAACTTGGCGGGCGGGTCATAAAGAATATCTCCAACAGGCTATTGCAGACCAGATTTTTATCAACAACTAACTGTGTTCGCTGGATCTATACTGAAGATCAGATGGCCGGGCCGGAAAGAATCACCAACAAGAAACAAGAAAGTATGGGAACAGACAAAGAAACAAAAAAAGAGTCAACCAATCGCCAACCAACAAATATACAGGAGAAAGTGGATTGAGATGGACTGGACACTGGCTGAGGAGGCAGCTGGTTGACGTCGCGCGCGCGTCAGGCCATTGGTGGAGTAGAACCCGACAGAATGGGAAGCGGCGAGTGGGACGTCAGTGCAAGGGTGGGGTGTCATGGAGGAGATCGTGTGAAGAGGAGTTGAAGCACTATGGACTAACATGGATTCAGGTGAAAAGTAGAGCAGAAGACATAAGTGGCAAGTGGAGACGTGCATGTATTGTTGAAGCTCTGTGTTCCACTAGGAACCCAAGGGAATAATATTAATAAATATGCTGTCGATTGATATAGCGAAATATAATTCATGTAGCTACCCGTCGTGACCAATAATGAACACCAATCACTGTCATTTTGAGAAATCAATAGAAACTCACGCACCTATTCAATTCGTCCACGACATAGCGCGACCGCTAGCCAATGTCTTCGGCGAGTATTTGTCCTCACACCCGACATGCTGCACCCTACTAGTCACGACTGATTATGTGCATAAACGGATGCTAAACTTCGCCTAACCTGACTTACCGATCTGTTTTATTAATATATCGTTTTCTTTCTTTCTTATATATAAATATTGCCGGACAATTTATTTCAAGGTAGATTTCATCCCGAATGATAACTAACAGGGTCACTTGGTGACTGCTTTTGTTCCATTTAGAAATAGTCACCCGTGAAGTCTATCAAGTTGTATGTGAAAGTGGACACTCATTAATTTCGACGCTGACTGACGGTCACGTTATACAACTAATTAACAATAGGTTGAAATTAATGAACTTCTTGACTCTGACCCAGGTAGTCAGTGTTAAATAACATTGGTTACTGCTTGATGATTAGCCAATGTATCCATTACAGTTGTACAGGGGGTTTCATCGTGATTCCAAATAGCTCAGTAGTCATAACATCTCTGATGGCAGCATTAAGTGATGCTGGCTCGGGTCCCAAAGGAAACAATAAGTTAGTTCAAGGCAGTAAATGCACCCTACTGACAAGTGCCAACAATCATGGTCTGGGCATCCTAAGCGTCGATTGTCTCCAAACATCCTCAATTGACGGACCTAGATGTGTCGGCAAGGGGGTACATATATATAACTGAACAGTTGCAAACTAAGACAATACAATGTTACTTTAACTCATGTCGATTAGTTATGAAATTCAAATCTGAATCATCTGAGTTACAATACGCTAGTGTGTTAACCAGATTTAAGTCATTCTTTAGTTATTACCTATATCTGCCTCACTTTTAACTCTTAACTGGTGATGATTTCTTCCTCTAATCTACGGTTAAAATATGAGTTGTCAAATGAAACAAGAAATCTATATAGATGGCGTCTTGTCAAATGTTGAGTAGATAAGCGCTCATCTTTTGGTTACTAGACAGCTGGGTGGAAAGTTAAGCATTTGTGAAGGGTTACATTCGTAATTTTGCAATTTAATAATAATAACAATATATATTTAATTGGATTCAAGATTTTCCCGTCGATTGATTGGACCGAAGTGCTCGGTCTCCGGTTGACATGCCGGCTTCTGGCGCAGATGTTTCGACTATGTCTGGGCATTTCATTAGTATTTAAATGGTGGATGATGACTAGCAGTGGAATCCAGGATGCGCATTTCGTCGTTTTAAATGCCCAGATATCGTCGAAGCATCTGCACAATAAGCCGACAGACATGTCAACCTGAGATCGAGCACTTCGGTCCAATCAATCAACGGGAAAATCTAAAATTCAATTCAATAATTAATATGACTTGTTGCACAAGAGGTGGCCAGCTCTCGTGGCCCAAGTGGTCTAGTGGACAACGCTTTGGCGTTTGAAATTATAGGCACTGGGTTCGAGCCTCGGTGGGAACATCATCACTCACCGAGAAATGCAGGTACATCCAGGCGACGAGTCCCAAATAGGACGAAATGTGCATCCTGGATTCCACTGCTAGTCACCATCCACCAATTAAATACTAAATAAATGCTCAGACATCGTCGAACCATCTGCAAAGGAAGCTGATAGACATGTCAACCTGAGACCAAGCATTTCGGTCCAATCAATCAACGGGAAAATCTAAAAATTCAGTTTAATGCCTTTGATACACTACTTAAAGCTAATTATTAGTAGGAGATGGGACTCAAGCAAAGGAAGGATAGTGGAAGACGACGAGACAAACTAGGTACCATTCCTACTTTCACTTTAGAATCTCATTCGCTAAGCGTATGCTTTTTGTATACCAGACCATAGCATAGACCTCATATTGTTGAATAAAGGCTGATAATAATACAAACAGAAGTGTCTGGAGAGGGATTCGAACAAACAATGGAACTACTGATGGATAGATAGTTAAATGATGAAGCCAAGGTGTCGAATTTCCACAATATATATATATATATATAACAGATTTTCAGTAGGCTTTCGAATAAAAATGAAACATTTTTTCCAAACTGGATCAATTCTTAGTAGATCAGTAAGCTCTTTTTTCAACAGATTTTGATTAACTTCACACACACACACACATTGATCGATTGATTGATTGATTGATGGATTGATTACCATTTGGTGATTAAACCAATATGCACTATCTAGTTATAAAATAAGGTCACTTGTGTGTGTGTGTGTGACCTAGATAAATCAGTGTTAAATTTAGTCACTTTGCAATTAACTAGTACGGATTTTTAAGCGAATAATAAGTTTCCTTAAGATTAAATATTCATCACGTTTATAATAAAGTAGATTAAGTCTTTCTTTTACTGGTAAATACTATTAAAATCACTCAATCAAGTCAATCATTGCTGCTTACTAGCTGGGTCTGAGTAACTAGACAGCTTTTTTGCTCGATTGTGACCAAGCTCTATGATGATGTATCGGATTTGGCTCAGCTCACTCACCTTAAACCACCGGAGATTTTTAGTGTGAACTTGTAATGAACAAATACAAATCCACCTCAAATGTCAGTCTACAGGAATTTGTCAGTTTGTAGGTTTGATCACTAAATGAAATCAGTTCGAAAACCATTAGAAAGCCAAGGAGCAGTGGATAGCTACTTCCTTCCTTCCTTCCTTCCTTCTGTGCTACACCCAGGAGCATAATCTCACCGGGGGACCTTCCGGTTATAAAAAGAATATATAGGCCATTGGTGGACCACTGGAGCTTGAAACGATGGCCTATGAATCCTAACTTCCGCAAATTCGCGATATAAATACTTCAACCCCCCCCCAGTCAATATCACAGTTGGTTAACTGTTCCCTTACTAACCTTACTTGATAGACTCCACTGGTCGAGTGACTTCTCACTAGAACGCCAGGTAACCTCCTGTGTACGCCATGTCACTCATTAGTGAGCATTAGATTAATATTCAAGTAGTTGCTACAGGGGTCACGCCATATAGTGATTTGGCAGAGGCTGGAATTTATAGACCACTGGATCAAGTCCCAGTGGCCTAATGGTCTACCAGCTCGCCTTGTAATCAGAAGATCTTGGGTTCTAACCTCATTGGGTGCGTACTGATGAAGAGCCCAAAACTAGGCTGACGAAACGGCTGTCCAGTTCTTCTAGTCTGTTTTCCAATGGTTCCCTAACTGATGTGCTGACATCATGATGAAATCCTGAAATTAATATTGAAGTGGTGATTTGCAGGGATTTGATTGGTTACAGGTCTGATCACAAGGTAATATCAGTTAGAGGACCATTAAAAGATTCCCAAAACTCTAGGGGTAAACGGCTCTTCAATACTCCTTGGTTTTTTAATAATCCTCCAACTGACGTTACCTGTAGATCAAACCTGTGATAAATTGTAATTCGACATTTACAAAATATAGAGTTGGACGTGAGAATTCTCTTAAATGCCATAAATGATAATCAAAACTGGATAAGTACCCTGCTGCTGATGTTACCTCCAACTGAATTTATAACTTTACGTGCGCCTGAGGCAGCAAGTACATTCGAAAGACAGAAAGAAGGTAGGCCTTTTATCTGGTTTTTAGAGCAAATTCCAAGAAACTTATGCTTAAAAGGAAACAGATATTTACAAAGTGGAATTACCAGACACACCCATCATGTGAATACGGGTCATTTTGTCGAGATTTTCAAATCCTTAAAAATATTAAACATACAAAGC